GTTGTTAAGCAATTAATATAAAGTTTTTTTTGATATTATACACATTTTATTATATAAATATTCAAGAAATTTTATTTTTATTTATTTAAAAAGTTCTCTAGGTCTCTTTGATATCTAACCCCAAGAGATCCTACTTCACTTAACTCACATGAAATTAACTGCACTGAAACATTAAATAAGTTATTGACAAACTGTCACTACAAAAGACCGTTTGCTGTTTTCGGATCTTTACTGATTGACGCTGAATAATTGATTCAGAAAATCCTGAAATGATAAGACTTTATGGACCTTATGGTAGACCGTTACCGCGTGAACGAGTAGAGCTGAATTTGTAAATTTTACCAAAATTGTTTACTTAGTACAACACGTTTTGTGTGTTCAATGAACTTTTAATTACTAAATCATGTCTTTTTAGTAGTTAATACTTTCTTTGATTTTTCTTCTTTTTTATTGGTTTAATATATCTAAAAATATATTTTTAGCTCAACAATGGTAAGAGGGGTCATATGTTCCCCACATATAAAATATGATACTCACTGGCATATTCAAGATTTTTATTGTGAGAATTTTGGAAAGAATTTGTCCTTCAAATTTTTTATAATATTTTTATAAACCGTTGTGTTAAAATTGGTGTTTGTAAATGTTAATCATAATTGTACCAAATCGGTAATATATTAGGCATTGGTCATTAGGTATAGATGATGGGTATGTATACATTTTCGCCATTTCCAATGACAAAATGTTTGTGTTTATAATTTTGAGTAAATTTTAAAATGGTGGAGTTGTAAAAATATTTTTTAATTTATACAATGAAACTGTCAAAGTAATTATTATTGTTAAAAAAGTTATAATCATATATTTTGTGGAAGGCATGGGGCATAAAAATTTAATGTACAAAAGTTTTTTTAATAAATGGCCTTAAAGTTTGGTTTTATTTTGTATTTGTTTATTATGTTATGCAGCATCCAAGGCGTCATGTTCAACGGTCTAGACCTCGCGCTCTAGATTTACGATATCTTAAATTTCACATAAGTCATGATTTATTGCTTGATTTGCCAAATCGTATGGTAATCCTTCAGGTATGGCTTTAATATGTTGATGTGAACGACATTAAAGCGAGATATTCCTAAAGTCGTTTCAGCGATTATATAGAATGATATTGCCTATGTATGGTCAACCACATTGTTGTTGTTGATCAGCAACACTATAGTTTACCAAAGTATGTGTTCCTCAGTATCGTCGGCAAAAATTTCGTCAGACACTGGAACGAATTCCACATAGGGGAGGACTGGAATGGAGAACCATACAACAAGTTCTCAAGGTAGAAAAGGCAAAAAAAGACCATATCTAAGAAGAAAAAGGAGTATAAAATAGGAGAAAAAGAGGAGAAGCCCAGTAAAAATTATCTTATCATAACTGCAATTAATACTAGATTATGATCCCATAATATTACCTTATAATTGATAAAACTTTATTTTATCTATTCATGTCTATTCATTGCATGAGATTTTTAATCAATTTATGTCATTATTAAACGATTAAAAATTAAAAATATTAAAATTTTTTTATTGATTTTTGAATAGTTTTGTATATTTATGTTTGTTGTATACAATATACTTTAATTGTTGGATATGTAAAATAATTATTTGGATATAGCTGAGAAAAAGTGATTTTGTGGGCAATTAGCCGTAAAAATTACTTTAAAGAACAACTGACATACTGTATATGATTACAAACTATTGAACTTTTGTTTCAAATTTCATAATAATTTCATTTCGGTTATGTTCAAAACTTGAGTATATCTATGAATTGCATCAAGTGTTGTGATGACTGCTGATTATTTTTTTTGATGTTGATGTTGATGATAAATAATTTTTTATCGGGTCGGTAGGCCAATCAGTACGTCGGGTCGGTAGGCCAATCAATACGTCGCGTTGGTAGCCAATCAGTACGACAAGTCGGTAGACCAATCAGTACGTCGGGTCGTTAGCCAATCAGTACGTCGGGTCGGTAGCCAATCAGTCACTTGCTTTCTATTACTTTTCAATTTTTATTACTTTATTATTTCACTTCTTTTAATTTACTTATTTAATTCACCTTTTTCTTACTTTACTATTATTTCACTCTATATTAATAACTTTTTCTTATACTTTCTCTTTTCTAAATTTTTATTTTCATTTCAATTCATCATCAATTAAAGCCCCACTCTTCTCGAGATCTCTCAAACAAACAGTTTTGTTAGAGAGAGTAGGGATGGGTGCGACTTTTGGTCGCCTGTTGTTATCACATCATATTGGATTGATGACTTCTCTGTTGTTTATATAGCACATACCATTCCTTATTGGAATGGTATGTGTTGATAGTAAAAAGTATTTTTGGCTAACATAACCGTATGGTTATGTTAGTCAATTTAAATAAACAATTATCTATTTTAATATCCATTTATTTATGGCATTTTTGGGCATTGTTAGGGTAGGCATTATTTTTTAAAACCCTGATTGTAAATATTATATATAGTTATTAAATATATTTTTTATTTTATATAATATTCAATACATTTTAATTCATTTATTTTTTGTTCAATCAAATTTATTTAAACATTAATAATGTTGACAAAATGGAATGTAAGAAGACATTTCTAATGGTGGACACTTGTATTGATTAATTATAACTTGTTGCATAGATTCAGGTGTTATCTGTTGTTAATCCAGTATATATCCAATTTTCTTAAAATTTTAATCAGTGTTTTTGCTATCGCTCCTAATTTGTTTTCATTATTTGACTCTCTGTTGATATCTGACTCATATTTAATCATCAATTTGCGATTAATGTCTTTTTCAAGGACCAAAGTTGCTATCAAAATTGTGTTTGTCTTGATATTAAATTGATTATAAAAATCAATATTTTTATTTTTATTATTTCTGTAGCGGCAAAATTGACCTTTTCTTCCCATTTTATTAAATAATTGTAACTAAAATAAAATATAAATGAATTAAAAAATAATTATGAATATTATAAGTAAATAAAATAATAGAGAAAGAGAGAGATAGATAGAATGTATTGTTGTACTTTTGTTAGGTATTGTATTAAATATTGAAACATTTTATTTTTACGTGGAATTTTTTTTATAATAAATTTTAAAAAAAATATTGTTTACCTTTTTGTTGCGATGCTTATACTATACTAAATTAAATGTTAAATATTTTTAATACTAATACTAATTACTACATAAAAAAATTTTTTAATTAAATTATTTTTAATTAATATTGTAACAGTATTTGTTTATGTGATAACTGATTTGTTCAGTCGTAGACATATATAGTAAGGTATGCAATCTACTGACGCCTACCATACCTGTATTTGGACCGACTGCTGGATTGGTGCGCACGATTTAGTCGGCGGTCCGTTATAACTATGGAAGAGGGACAGGGAAGGAATAAGTTAGTTAACAAGTCTCGGTACACTACGTAACAATTATTGATTATGTAATGCCATAATAATAATTATCAGTTTTTACTGTAGTATTGTTCAATTGTTTTTGTTTTATTATAATTGTATTGCATTATTTAATTATATGTGAATTTAATTAGTTTCATAAGTAATTGTTAGTGAGTGTTATTGATTAACGACCGACTGACAATCAATAATAGGTTGGATGACCGCCGATAGAGGACATATTCACATATTCATACAAGTAGCCGATTATGTCTATCGATGGGAATCGCGATTGACGACACCGTTGACTCTTTTAATATAAATAATTAAAATATTTTATTATTAAAATGTTTTTTAATTAAAATAATTTATTAATTAAATATTTTTTAATTAAATTATTTTTTTAATTAAATTATTTTTTATTAATTTAAATAATAAATTAAATTTTTTTTATTAATTTTATTTATTAATTAATTCTTTCCATCTATTAAATTTTTTTCAGATAGTAATTTATTATCTTCTCAATAATATAACACTTTATTATATTTTTATAAATAATAATAAAAAATAAACAGAGATCTAGACGAAAAATTTTAAATAATTTTTATAATTTAACACGCGACAAGATAGACAGACAGACAGAGAGAGAGAGAGAGAGAGAGAGAGAGAGAGAGAGAGAGAGAGAGAGAGAGACATACAGACAGACAAACAGACAGACAGACAGACAGACAGACAGACAGACAGAGACAGAGAGAGAGAGAGAGAGACAGTGAGAGACAAAGAGAGACAGAGAGAGACTCTTTAAGTTTTTGGCTTTAGGCCAGGTGGTAAAAATTTTTAATCTCAAGGGGTTAATAGTTCTTACCACTAACTCTCCCCTTTAGCAACCCCTGGTGCTCGGATAATTTTTTACTTATCGGAACATTAGAGCAACTTTTTATTCTCTACAACTTTTCTATTAAGGACCGTAAGATCTGACCACCCGTTTTCGGGTAAAACGGGACCGCAGCTTTTCCCATTGCGGTTTAGGCAGTCCCATTTTAAAATAATAAAATCATAAAATAAGTTATAAAACTTAACGACTAATTGACAACTTCAAGCATTTATTTATTTTATATTTTCAAACTTTCTGTTAAATATTTAAATTATTAATATTAATATATAATTTAATATTTATTAATAAATTAATATAGATATTTATTTATTAAACACCTTTATTTAATTAATATTATTAAATAATAAATTTTAAACACATTTACGTTTATTTAAATATTTTACAAATAATTATTGATTAATTGTATAAATTAAAAACATAAATAATAGCTGTATATTGTAAATACTGTATAATATAATATTATATATATTAGTGAATTAATTTAAATACAAATAGTGTATATATATAAAAAACAAATTTATAAATTACTAAAATTACATAAATATTATAATATATTATTTATTTATTTTTTATTAATAATTATTGTATTTATAATTAATATAACATAACAAAAAAAAGATTAAACATTTATATTATTTTTATTAATAATAATTATTTCAAATAATTTAGTTTAAGATTTAACATAATTGACTGCCGATTGTGGTATATATATGCAGACAATTAAACCGATGATTAGTACGACAACAGCTATGATGTAAAACATTAGACACAACTGAATCAAACTGTTTTTGGTCTTAAAATTATTATTATTATTATTATTGATATTATTATTGGTTTTTAGGTGCGGCACGTCTTGCATTGATATATCACTTGTTTCTAATAATTTAAAAAAAATAAATTAAAATTTTAAAAAATAATAATAAATAATTGTAAAAAATTATTTATATTTTAATTTTTTTAAATATTAATAACTTACTTGACTTTCTAGTAAAATCGCACATGTACATTTGCATAATTAAATGTGATGTTACATGAAATAATATATAACTAATTAAATTGGGGGAAAAAAATTAAAAAAAATAAATTTTAATTTTTTTTAAATATTTAAAAAATAATTTTTAAATATTTACATTATAAGTATCCATAGATATATTTGTGACATTTGTAGGGCTGGCAGATAGTAGGCCAACACTAGGGCTACGATTGCCGATATGTGTCCCGTATTGCCCAACAAAAAGTGTAACCAATTGAATATCCATCGTTTCGGTGATTCGGGTTTCGGTCGGAATAGAGCGCCGATTGGATTCAATATTATTATGACAATCGATGCCAAACCAAACCATTGATGCGGACCCTAATTGTATTAAATATAATTAAAAAAATAAATAAATTAATAAATATATAAATATATAAAAATTATTTATTAATAAACTATTTACTATATATTTTTTTAGAAAAAAAACTGTAAGTTTCTAATAATTATTTAAATAATATATATTTTTTTATTTTAACTTATATAATTTTAGTTATTCAATAGATATGTGTAATTAAAATTTAATTATTTTTTAAAAAAAAATTATATATATTATTACATAAATTAAAAATAATAATATCTATTGAATTATTTTTTTTTAATTATTATTTATGTTACTAAACTTACTAAATACTGTATATTATTTATATTAATTTATAATACTGTATATCGACTATAATATAATAGATTAAATTAATAATGTTTATATTGCAATAATAAATATTAAAATTTTTATTTAAATATATTAAGTAGTATAAAAATAATTGTTTTTTACCATGGTAAATGTTCCCACATGTATCCATATGCTTACTGATGATAATAATATTAGTATCAATGCCGACAACATTAGCGATCGATGAGCCTTTAAAAAACATTAAATAATAATAATTATTATTATTTAAAAATTTTTAAAAAATAATCAATTAATTAATAATAAGTTTAATATTAATAAATATTTTTATATATAATTAAATACATACTGCAAACCATATTTTAACGCCAAACAGTTGATCGTTGGGCCAAAAATCTTTAAAATATCGGGCAATAAATATAGCTATACTAACACAGCCCAGCCATGCAAACACCATAAATGAGCCTAAAATTTAAACAAAAAAATATATAAAAAAATATATGATTCAAAAAACTTCAATTTTTTTAAGACTAAAAAATTTAATTTAAATATTTAAATATTATTATTATTCAATTAATTGTAAAAAATAAACAAATTAATTGATTAATTGATCTTGTTAAAAAAATTTTATACTCGTTTAGAAAATATCAAATATACAGTTAAAAAATAAATAAATACATATTACATACATATTTTTGAAAATTATTATTCAAAAAACTGTATAAAATACTAACAAACTATTAATAAATATTAAATTGTATTTTTAATTTATACAAATAGGCTATAAGATCTAAGAGATTTTTGTAATGTTAATTATTATTAATAAAACATTAATTAATTAAAAATAAATAAAAATATATTGATTTTGTTAAAATAATTTTTTTATAATGCTTTAGAAAATATCTAATATACAAATAAATAAATTAAAAAATAATTGTAAACTACAAAAAATATAAATAATATTTTTTGAAATTTATTATTTTAAAAAATTATTAATAATATTTTTGAAATAAAAAACTGTATAAAATACTAACTAACTATTAATAACTATTAAATTATATTTTTTAATTTATTCAATTAGGAATGGTATCATAAATGATTTTGTATTATTATTAAAACAAACTAAAAAACTTATATTTAATAAAATAAAATATTTTTATTATATACAAAAAATAAATAAATACAATATATAATAATTAATAATAAAATAAAAAATACTATAATTTCTAAACTGAATAGTAAATCTATTTAAATATTTTTTAAAATAAAAATATTAACAATTTAAATAAATAAAATAATAATAATTTACTAAAAACTACCTGTATGCTCAAAAAATTTATTTATTTAATTAATTAAAAAAAACACACACACATACAAAAATAAATACAATATAATTATTAATCAAATAAATTGTATATTAATCTTATAAAATATTAAATATATATATAACTATAAATATTTATTTTTACAATAAATAAAATAATAATTTACTCTAAAAACTACCTGTGCTCACAAAAATTATTATATTAATTTAATTAATTAAAAATTTTAATTAAAATAATAATAGCCAAACAAATACCGTGTAATTTAATTAGAAAACTAGTCGACTGTTGGGCAGCGGATAACTGGCCAACAATACGCATATCAATGGTCTGATCGGTGGCCAGTCGTTCCGTATGATAGTCTTTGGTATCTTCTTTACCGGCCAGTAGTCCATAGGCTAACAACAGGTAGTATTGTTTGTCTTTCAGGTCATACTGTACCCCACGGATGGTCGACCGTCTACGGCGTCTCCATTTACAATATAACAGTCCATTATTGTAGGTAGTGTTCAGCACAGTTACCGAATGATATTCATTGGCCGACAGATATTCATTGTTGCGGCCAATGTTGACACTGTTTCGTAGGACTGGCCGACCATCGCTTATCATACAATCGGTAACACTGTCCTCACCTATAAATAAATATTAAAAATATTTAATTTAAATAAATAAATAAATAAATTATATTTCAATTATTTGTAATAATTATATTATTTTGTTATTAATTAATTAATTATATATTTATATATCATATATACTAACATATAAATTTAATGCTAAATTTTTTTTTGAAATAATTTAGTAATAATTATTGTACTAAAAAAATTTTGTAGTTTTTTTATTCATTAATATTTATTATCAATTTAACTAAAAACTGTATTTTTTATTATATACTTATTAGTTATTATAAATATATTATATTTAATTATCAAATTAGGTTTAAATACGTTTCATATATATACCTAGTATATATATCTAATTTTTATTTCATTAATATATTTTATTACTAATAAAAAAACTGTAATTTTTATTATATACATAGTATTTATTAATTAAATAATAAATATTATGTTTAACTATCAGATTAAGAATAAATATTCTAAAATTTTTTTTTTTAAATATTAAGTATTAATAATATAATTATTCATAAAATATAATTTTATATTTAGTTTATACATTATAATCAACTAAATTAACCTAAAAAATAAACTATTAATATATTTTTAAAAAGTTATAATTATTTAGATAATTAAGATCTAATATTATAAAACATACATAGATTTTAATATTTTTAAAAAAATATATTTAATAATATAAAAAAAACCAACGACCTACCCATTTTGTTATCGGTAGACAATCCCATTGAATAGTATGAGTTAGCATTATATTTATTAACATCGGCATGTATTTCAAACTCAACCATACCGTCACCGCGCATCACATACATACCCGTTAATAACATATTACAGGTACGATATCGGACACAATTAGCCGGTAATCCCATACAAAACTTTGAGGAACACACCTCATAGGGTATACGTGAGCCGTACTGAGCCGAGTCTACCGATGCTTGAGTTCGGGGAACAGTAGATAAGGACTGTATGTTATTGTTGTTAACCGATGGTAGGGGTTGTTTGGGCTCCGATTGATGGTCTCGTTGTCTATTGTAGGCGGCATTAGGTTTACCAGTAGTACTACTACTACTACTACTAGTACTACTAGTCGTGTGCTGTATGACTACCGGTGCCGTTATATAGACAGCCTGCGAGTCCAATGCTGTCCAAAATACACTCTTGGTTTGGACAACTGTAGCCCGAAATATGACACCACCGATAAAATTTTGCGGTGCCGTCCATGTAGTGTCCACTCTGTATTTGGTGCCACCGTTTTTGTGGGTCAATGTATTCTATATATTATTAAAAATAATTTTAATTAAAAAAAATTATTAATATGTAAAATAAAAAATAAATACTAATAATTAATATTATAAATTATATTTTTATAATTTTTTTTATATTAAAAAAAACTGTAATTAAATCTATAATATATTATTTGATTTTTATTAATAATCTATGAATACTATAAAATAGTATACAAAATGAATAAAAAAAATTAGTTTTTTAAATATTTATATAAATTTATTTTTTTAGTTTAACACTAATCTAACTAATAATAAAGTATTATATTTTATATATATATATAAATATATTTATTTATTTCAATGCTTATAGTTTATTAAAAATTAATAATTTTAAATACATTTTGTTTAATACTGTAAATAAACACTTTTTTACATTTTTATATTTAATTATTTTTTAAAAATAATATAAAATTAGATGTAATGCGATTATATTTTAAAATTTAGTATTTATTATAAATAAATTTTAATAAGCATAATTAATATAATTTTTTTATAAAAATATTCAAAGTAAATAATATAATTAAAAATTTAAAAAATTAGAAAAAAAATTATTAATATGTAATATAATTTTTATTTTTGAAATAAAAATAAATACTAATAATTAATATTATAAATTATATTTTGATATTTAAAAAAAAAACTGTAATTAAATCTTATAATATATTATTGATATTTATTAATAATCTATGAATACTATTAAATAGTTCATAGGAATACAAATTTTTTAAAAATATATATTTATATAATTTATTTTTAGTTTAACTAAAATCTAACTTATAATAATAAAGTATTTTATTTTTTTAAATATATATATATTTGACTATTTATTTATATACTTATAGTTTATAAAAAATCAATAATTTTAAATAAAATTTTTTAATACTGTAAATAAACACTTTTTTACATTTTTATATTTAATTATTTTTTTAAATAATATAAAATTAGGTTGCATTTGACTTCGTGTTTTAAAATTTAGTATTTATTACAAATAATTTTTACTAAACATAATTAATATAATTTTTTTAATAAAATATTTAAAGTAAATAATATACAGTAATAATATTTATATATATAAATATATTAAATGTCTAAATAATAAATATATATTATTATTTTATATTGATCAATAAAAAATTAAAAAATATATATTAAATATTTAACATAATAATAATGTTGAAAATATATTAAATATATTAAACTTTTAATTAACACAAAAAAATTTTAAGTAATATATAAAAATGCAAATGTTTTATAATATACATAACATTATGTATTTAGTTATTATGTCTATACATAAAAAAATAATAATAATTTTATCCTTAATAGTCATACAAGTAATTTGACATAATTTTAGTAAATTTATTAAAGTGAGACAAAATAATTGTCAATTATATTATTAAAAAAAAGTAAAATTAAAAAATACAGTATATATACTATATATTGTTTAAAGTACTGTATTTATATATTAACTTAATGTCACTTATTTTTATTATACAGTAGTTAAAAAATAATGATAAAATAAATGATAAATTTAAACTATTGCCCGCTATTACCTCAAGGTTGTCCACACTATATATATATATAGTATATATATTACTTATATATATATATATTTACAGTAATAATAAAAATAATATTATATTATATATAATTGTAAATTAATGTATTATTATTATTATTATTTCAAAAAAAAGGAGCGGAAATTAATTAACATTTTTTATTATTATTAAATATATTTTGTCAATACATAAATTTTAAACATACATTATTTAGTTTTACTTATTTTGTTAGTATTGTTTAAATTGTTAGTTTTATTATTATTATTGTTTGTAACCAAAAATTAAAACCTTGAATTATAGCCAAACATTATTTTTTTGAATAATATGATTATTAGTAATATTAATAATATAAATAATCGTTTTTCGAGATTAAAATTTAATGCTAATTAAAATAGTTTTCATAAATAAAAACATTTTTATCAAATGATTAATAATATTATTATTCAGTAATAATTATATTATATTATAATAATTTTTGATTTTATTATTTTAATTTTTGTTTTTGCTTTTTTAGTTTGGCATTAAAATTTTACTAAATACTAAAATAGTTTAACTGTTAATCAATCAATATATTTATATTAAATTATTTTTAAAAAAATAATAAAACTAGAAATTTTACTTTTTTAAAAAAATTATTTAGCTTATTTAGATAAAATAAAATTAGTAAAAATCTAAATTTTTTATCTCATTTAAAAATAAAACTATTTCAACACATAATATTAGTTTTTTATTAATTTTTTTATTATTGATTATTTAATTTAATATTAATCAATAAAAATTTAATTATTTTAAACTAAAATTATGGCTTATTTTTTAAAAAAATAAAATCAATAATATATTAATAAACATATATAATATATTGATTATAAAATACATACGAGTTGTATGACCTAATTATAATTAAGTGAAACTAATAGATATACATATATTTAAATAAAATAATAATAATAATAATAAAATAATATAAATCAATAGTCACTCAAATAATAATATAAAAAAATTATTATTTGATCTAGATAAATTTGTTGTTGTTGTTGCATATATTGTTAACTTTATTTTACAAAAAAAAATTAAATAAAATGTATATTTATATACCTGTATATATATATATAAATAAATTTTAGTATTATTGAATTTTTATTAAATTTTTTGCTAATTATTATTAATATATAACTTTTTTTTTAAATCAAAAAAAATATATACTAATTATTATGACTAAAATTATTATATGATCTAGATAATTTTTGCTGTTGTTGCATATATTGTTAGTTTTTTCAAAAAAAAACAAATTTCAAAATAAAGTATTAAAATATAAAAATAAATTTTATATTATATTATTTTATTGTATTAATTTGCTAATTAATTATTAATATAATTTTATTTTTTAAATAATATATATATATATATTAATTATTTATATAAATATTTTTAAATTAAAAAAAATATATTAATTATTTAGTAATAAACGACTTACCGGTATATCTTGATTACAGTTTCTTGTTTGTGACAACTGGCGATCCTCACTGAACCGGCCATTAACTATGGACTCCCTGTCCGATACTAGCCGTGCCTGAAGCATAAAACCGGTAAACGGTATGCTATTACCGCCAGCACCCCCACTACTGCCCACCCCTTTCGACATTAGCGATACAATAACAGCACCGTTAGGTCCGTGAGCTACCCTGAGCTCATAGGGTGCCAGACCGTACTGTTTGTCTACACCGTGGCCCGGGTGTAGTGACTGACATGATTTGGTAGGTGCACCGTGACTATAGCCATTGACCATCGGGGACAGTTGGCAACCATAGATAATAATTATAATTACTAGTATATATGTAGTAGTAGTAGTAGTAGTAGTAGTGGACCACCATGTTGTTAATCGGTGTGTTTTATTTAGCATGATAATTTTTTTAAAAAATTAATTAATTTTTTTGTTTGTTTGCTGAAATAAGTTTTACAAAAAAAAAATAATTAATTTTTTTAATTAATAGATCTATTATTTACTAAATAAATAAATAAAAAACATCAATATATGTATATATAAAATGTCTATTAATTAATTGCTACAGTTTAATATATTAAATACTTAATATAAGTATTTAATAATAAATAATAATAATAATATATATATATATATATATATATATATATAGTTTGTTTTTATGATTATTGAATTAATAGTTATTGTATTTTTTAAAATTTTGATTTTATAAAATTTAAAAACAAAAATAAATTTATAAAATTACTTTTATAATGGTTACTAAATTTTATTTAAATAAACTAGTATAAATATATAATAATCTCTATTTAATTATTTGTTACAGTTTTTTTTAATATTTTATATAAAATTTATAAAAAAATATGTTATATACAATAAAATTATAGATTGTTATAAATAGTAGTTTAATTGCTTATTAATAGTAACAATAAATTATTATTACTAATTATATAATTATATTTTATGTATTTTTTAAATAAAATGTCTAATATATTATTCAATTAACGTATTAATACATTTAATAAAAGTGTTTTTAAAAAATACAAAAATATTATTAGATTATACTTACAATTAAATACAAGCGGTTTGTAATCCTATTAGCAAAAAATAATAAATATTTAACACTTTATTATTAGTATTATTATTAAGTATTTAAAAAAATTAATAATTTATACACACATAGACACACATTTGCATAATTAAACACAAATTTTATATTATATTACATTTTCTGTTCAAAAATTAAAATATTAAATTTATTTAATAAAAATAATCACAAATAAATTTTTTTTATTAAATAAAGTGTTTTAAACATACAATAAAAACAGTATTGACAGATGAAATGATTTAATTAGAGATATATATATATATAATTTACAACATATATATCAGTTTAATAATAACAACAATAATAACATGTGGTTTGCCTTCAAAATAAAATAGTAATGAAATTACTATTAAAAAAAAATTTTTGAAAACTTTTCAATTTAAAAAAACAAACTATTTTTTTTATCTATGATTACTATTATTATTAAATATAGAAATCAAATAAATAAAATATTAAAAGTTTTTTTTTATTTTATTTTGTAAGTTGTTTTGACTGTCGTTATCTTAATTTGAAAACAATTGAAGGCTTTTTGTTGTTGTGTTAAAAGATATGTTTGTTATTATTATTATTATTATTATTATGTATTTAGTGGTCCATTAATGGTATAATATATTCACTGTATATATATATATATATATATAATAATAATAATAATAAGTGAAATCACTATTTTGTTTAGTAGTTATTAACGATAAAAGTATTTTTTGTATTATTATTATTATTTCACTAAAATATTTACAACTAAAAAAACATTTGTCGTTATTATTATTATTTAATGAGTAATACTCTATTGCTATATCACTACTACTACTACTGAAAAATATATTTGTAAAACAAAAACAAAATATAAAATTTAAAAAGATTTGTAACACAAATAAAATACACCGAAAAAAATGTTTCACTTGTTTTTCCAGTGAAAACCGGAAATTTCAATCATTTAGTTATTTATTTTTTTACACAAATTAATAATAATAATAATAATAATACTGTAGTTTATATTTTAGACATTAACTCAACAATATTTTTTTAAATCAATTAATTTTTATTAAGTGAGAGATTTATTTTATTTAATATTTTTTTTAACTGACAATTAATTTTATTATGCAAAATTTTTATTAGTTATTTAATAGTTAAACTTTTTTAAAAAAAATAATATTTAAATTACTTATTAAAATAACTGTAAAGTTCTCATTAAATTTTAATATTTAATATATTAGAGAAAAAGTAATATTATTTAATAGTATCGAAATTAGGAGGAATTAAAAAAATTAATTTAATATTTTTTTTGTCTAAAAATATATTATTAATATAAATATATTTAAATTGAATAACTAAGAGACAAAAAATATTGAAAGTAAAATACATTTAATATGTTTAATATGTCTCCAAATAAAACAAATTTTTTTATATAACAAATCAGCACACAGTTAGCCAATAATTTTTGTTGTTTGTGTGTACAACCTATTAGCTCCTACCTATTAATAAGCTCCAGGGGTTAGAGTTAGAGAGAGAGAGAGAGAGAGAGAGAGAGAGAGAGAGAGAGAGAGAGAGAGAGAGAGATTAAACAAAAATATATAATGAGGTCAAAAAATTTGCTGAAATTTGTTTAAAAAAATTAGTAATTTTTTTAATAATGAATATTACAGTATATATAGATATTATTTACACAAAAAAATTTACTCAAAAAAAAGTTAATATTTATTTACTTTTTTTTAGAAAAAAAACTTGTGATTTTTGTTTGCTTTTAAAACAAACATTTTTTTATATATATAGAAGTTTAAGGAGAAAATAATTTTCTCCAAAATGTTTTTTTTAAATAATTTTTTTTTAATAACTCTTAACTGTTTGTCAGTCAGTAAGAGAAACAAAATAATAATAAAAAAAATAGTTTACATAAGTAATAGTATTGTGATATTTCACGTGAATTAGGTTAATAGTTAAACTGTGAGAGAGTTTTTTATTATATCGGCCGATGTCGGCTACTAATGATATCACATTTTCTCAGTTTAATTTATTTGATTATTATGTATAACATGATGTTATATGATTTCAAGGTTCCATAATGTATTGCAGTTATAGGTTTATTTTAATAATTATTTATTTAGTACATAAGGTGTACACATAGTTATTTGGGTTTAACAATGTAGCTGTGGGTTTTGGTTTGATATCCAATGATTATAAGTTTAGTTTAGTTAGCAAAAATATAGTTATTTGATTGGAAACAGAGAGATTACGCTGAAAGACGTCATAGAATATGATTTTTTCAGAGTGAAGAGAGTTAGTGTTTTACTAACTCTCAGAGAGTTCTCATCGAGTCGTCAAAGTGAATAGACGTGAAGTTTTATACTTGAATTGTATTTTTTACTTTATAACACGATAATAAAGAGATTTTACACAACTAAAGAGTAAGTGTTTCGAGGGGCTCGGGCCTTCGGCCCTGAGTCCCTTAAGAAAGTGTTAGCTTGCGATGTTAGTTAAAGTTAATTAAGTAAGTATAATTAACAGAGTTAATAATGTAAGTATTAGTGTTAATAATAAAGCCATCATCAAACGGAAACAGGACCGGACTATATCAGCAACTCAGCACGGATTCAACTATAAGTAAGTATTAGTTTAAGGTATGCCGATCTGCGGGAGCGTGGATTCAGCATGTAACATGTCGATCTATGGGAGCATAGGTCAGACATACTGGGTGTGCCGATCAGCCGATCAGGAGTGTAGATCAGCCATAGATCACGATGAAACATCGGGTCATGGTGTAATATAAGGGTTAGTCTCTCGGTGGAAACACCGATCGAGACTTAAGGTTTAACAGGTAACAGTAATGTTACCTAAGGGTTAGTCTCTCGGTGGAAACACCGATCGAGACTTAAGGTTTAATAGGTAATAGTAATGTTACCTAAGGGTTAGTCTCTCGGTGGAAACACCGATCGAGACTTAAGGTTTAATAGGTAACAGTAATGTTACCTAAGGGTTAGTCTCTCGGTGGAAACACCGATCGAGACTTAAGGTTTAATAGGTAATAGTAATGTTACCTAAGGGTTAGTCTCTCGGTGGAAACACCGATCGAGACTTAAGGTTTAATAGGTAACAGTAATGTTACCTTAAGGTTTGTCTCTCAGTGGAAACACCGATCGAGACATAGATTTAGTAGGTAACAGAAATGTTACCTTAAGGTTTGTCTCTCGGTGGAAACACTGATTGAGACATAGATTTAGTAGGTAACAGTAATGTTACCTTAAGGTTTGTCTCTCGGTGGAAACACCGATTGAGACATAGATTTAGTAGGTAACAGTAATGTTACCTTAAGGTTTGTCTCTCGGTGGAAACACCGATCGAGACATAGATTAGTAGGTAACAGTAATGTTACCTTCAGGTTTGTCTCTCGGTGGAAACACCGATTGAGACATAGATTTAGTAGGTAACAGTAATGTTACCTTAAGGTTTGTCTCTCGGTGGAAACACCGATCGAGACATAGATTTAGTAGGTAACAGTAATGTTACCTTAAGGTTTGTCTCTCGGTGGAAACACCGATTGAGACATAGATTTAGTAGGTAACAGTAATGTTACCTTAAGGTTTGTCTCTCGGTGGAAACACCGATTGCGACATAATTTCAGACTGTAATAGTCGAATATGGGTTTAATATGTGATGGAAACGTTACATGTAGATCAATGAAAACATTGATCTAAGTAGTAGATCCGACTGAAGAGTTGGATATCGGTTAAGTATGATAAAGTTATATAAAGATATCGGTATGTATTATAAGAGTACATAGTGAGTATAGATAGTAAACAAAAGACGACAAACAACGAAGCAGCGGAAAGAACGGCAGGATCGGGACGTCTTAGAAGAAACAAAGGTAAGTAAGCTTTAAATAAATATAGTTGTAAGTAAATATCGTTGTGAAAACGTTGCGATCGCTGTCGTTGAGGGTGTCATCATCTTGGAGGTGATGATCCGTGTAGCTTTCGTGTCAACTTTACCGCTGGAGAAGGGGATAGTAAGCGCGGCTTTAACAGAGAATTATCCCTGAACCTATATTTGTGAATCACCGCACGGAAATTGCTACATTTTTGGCGAGCCAACCAGGATCTGATGTTGTTTGTTAGTTTTATTGCTTGCATTTCTTTTAAAAAAAAACCAATCCTCTGGTAGACGATAAAATTGCAAACTGACAACATTTGCAAGATGAGCT